TGAAGTTTGCGAGGCACTCATCTAGATAGATTTTTAACCCTTCCTAGGAAGCCTCGCAACCTCTTCTATTCCAAGCCCCTTCTGAGCCATCCAAGCACAAGAGGACCATCCTTCACAGTAACCCCTGTCTCTACACTGGGATTATCCCCAAGCTCAAAAAGTCCTTAGACAACTTTTTCCACCCTCATCAAATAATTAACTTAGAAAAACCACCAACTTACCCATATCAAGTTTTGCATGATGAACATTTGATGTGCTTATAAAAGAAATATGTGTGGTAAGAAAAAAAAATGAGTGAGGTAGGAGATTGCTAAGTACTTGCAATTATTTCAAGTGGCTGCACAGAAAATAAGAGAAGGTATCATAAGGTGGGTGTAATTAGGAGGAATGAAACAAAATTAAGCACAGGACAATGTACACTGCGTATCAGAATAAATTTCTCAGCAAGGTCAGTGGTTCCTGTAGTTGTTCCTTTAAAATGGCTGACCCTCTTTCTTCAGGTGAGTAATTTTCAAACTAGACTAAGGGCAGCATTTGGAAATAGGAGGTTAGCGAGAAATCCTTGACTGTGCAGGCATGGATCGCGATGATTTAGTTCCATCATTTCCATTCCTGGAATTAAGTATTTACTCTTGCCAAAATACTTTGCAGTTGTTTTATTAACTAGGCTATACAAATGCCCCTTTGAGGTCAATAAAAATTTTATTTCCACGTTTAACATAAGGAATTTAAGGCACAGAGGTAGAGGGACTTGCCCATGGTCATCCTGCAAGTTAACAGCTGGGGTCTGGGCAGGCCTATGATTGCTAATGTCTTAAATCATACTTCTGTGCTAATTCTGATTCCTCTGGAGGTGCAGAAGAGGAAAGTGACAAATGGATGCTTATTAAAGGCACTTTTGAGTATCTCCCTAATGTTCAGGGGCCTTACATGAGAATTACTGTGAATTATTCTGAAATTTTAGGCTATGATGGCAAATATAATATGCTGTGTCTTTAGGTGAATTCAGCTTTTTAAAAAGAATACAACTGAATTAGATTTGTGTGACCCTTTATTTGAATGCTATCTATGAATTAGTTTGAATTGGTATGTTATGCCAAATGATTGGTTTGATTGAAAATTCCCCCCCTGTCAAAGTTGCCATACTTAAAGCAGAGTCCTCGTCCCCAACCCCCAACCTCCACCCGGGAAACTTAAGTGTGAGTCTGTTAACACAAGCTCCCAGGTGCTGCAGGGACAGCTAGTCCCAGAACCACAGTCAGAGAACCACCGCATAAAGAGTGTAGTCCCATTATCAGATTTCCTCCATTTAAATAAAATGAATATCTGTAAGCCATTACTGTCAGACCACAAAGCACTACTGTAAGCATGACCGATCTGCTTGGGTATTCGCCTTTTTATCCGCCTATTTTTAGACAAGAGGCACTGGAGTGGGGAGAAAAATGCTTGTAACAAATGAGTACGTTGCTTATTTCTCCCAGACTATTAACTGTACTTCATTCTGACCATAAAGAAGTTCCAGGTCTCTTGTGTTAAATAAAAACTGATGTAAAGGGGGAGGGAGGGAATAATGGGAAATGCTTACCTACGTATCATATTTCTTTAAAGGTGGTCATTTTTATTGGCGTACAGGAGAGATGGTGGTAAATAGATTCCGGGTAGATGTGGGAAGAGATGCATCTTCCATCACTGGCCTTATTCTAAAAACCTCTGCCTTTCCATTGAGACTGAAGTCCACTCCATTACTCCACTCCTAACTACTACCTCCAGTCAAGGAAAACAGCAAGGGGAATTTTATTCTCTCACTGAGCCCCATAATGCCAAGTCCTCCCTGGTTTCCCAAAGGAGTGATCAATTTCAGTTCATCGTTTTTCCAAGGGTCGCCATCTGCAAGTATATTTTAGGCTGTCTAATTCTACAGAAATAGTCTCCAAGGTTTAGAATCTCCTCCTCTATCCAGTGCTTTAAAAAATGAATGTTATGTGGAAATACCATCGTTCTAACCTGCTTCCTTCCAGCCAGCGCATATTCACAGGGACGCTTTATCATTTGAACGTCTGCTCTCAGTGGTGGGAAATCAATAATAAATTGCTCTACAATAAAGCATTACAGCACAGAACATGGCACACCGCCCGGCACATGGGTAAAGCTGGAAGAGCACGTGCGGGATGGGTTTTACCAGACACTTACTGGGTGATCAGCATCAAGCTCAGAACCATACATGAGAACTCTGTGAGAGCATTTGTCTAATTCAGAGATCTTCCGGGGGAACCAGGGCACATCCTCTAGCTCTGTTGAAAACACAGTGCAGTGTCAAAAATATTAGCGCGCAGATTGTGTTTTCCCCTTTGCAACATTTGTCAGATTGCAAAATCACCCAACAAGCGAAAACTGGCCTTGCCTTCTTCCTCTGCCCAAATGTTCTCTGGTGGATTCAGCGTCACAATTGTCGTTTGAAATTTCAGCAGTTGGATGAGCTCGTTGAATTCCGTTTTGCCACACTCGCAGTCCACAAAGATCTCCACCTCTGAACTCCGTCGCCGGGATTTCCTGGACTCGATGTGAACCATGTTGACATGTTTTTCCTGTGAAAATATAAGCAATATCTCTAAATCACCTCCAGGACACAACAAAAGAGATGCCACCAGCTGTTCTCGTTCAACTCTTACTCAACAAGGTGCCAAATGCCCACAAAGGAAGAAAATACAATCTCCTCACTCTTTGGTTGATGAAAACATGGAAATATTTCCAACCAGTGTCTCAATTAATAGGAACAGAGACTGTATGTCAGTTTTCCTATCTCATTAAAAAAGGGGTGGGGCATTAAGGTATATAATATAAAATATATTATAATTACAAACATCATCATTTTCCAGAGCAGTCCACATCCCACTGGTGGTGTGCATGATTATTTGGGGGGGAGAGAGGGGCTTATCATATTGTCATATAATTCCCAGATTTACATATTTTTTTCATATGTTTCCTAAAAACATAACTAAAACTCAAACCCCTGATTTTATAGTGGTATACAATTTCCACTATAAATTAAAATTCTAAAATAAACTATTTAAAGTTTTAAAATAATCTTTGAAAAAAATAAGTAAATAGTACAATGGCAGGCAAATGAGGCAGACATTTGGAAGGTGGTATGAAAATGACTGATGTTTGGGAAACATCAGCTAAAGTATATAGCCCATTTTGTAGGAAAAAAAGCAGAAAAGCAGCCAAGAGAGACTCTCTGAGGGCCAAGAGAAACCAAAAAACAAACATAAAAATTGGACCACTTCGTAACTCTTCTCCTTCAGCAACCTCCAGGCTAGCTTCATACAAGGATGTTTTGCTACAACTATCACCCCACGATGGATTTTAGGGGTAAAAGCCTCCTTACAGTAAGGTATTTGTGGAGTGGCAGCAATTTAATACTAAAACCTAAGGTTTAAATTTCTCCAGATAGTCTTCCTTTCCCATGAGTTAACTGAAGACTGAATTCTCCTCTCCAACCTAACCCATCCCCAAATAAGCAGATACCCCCACCCCCCTCACTCAGGATGGTACACTCTGATCGGCACAATTCCTAATACAATCCTGGATGGTCTCAGAATTTTCAGCACAGGAGCAGGATAGGTAGATTCCAGTGCCAGAGTAAGATCAGATCAAACAGCATCCTCCTGTATGAAGAAACTGGTCCTGTGACAAGGAAATTAAATGCTCTATTTCTGTTTTGATTAACCTTTACACAAATGTCACACTTACTAAATTGGCAGATAATCAAAGTGAGATTAATATTAAGTTCAAAGTTCAACAATCTTCACACATATTGGGTCACTGTGGACTTTTAATGTCCTTTCGTTGAAGCAGAGTAGGTATTTTTAGACAAGGCAATGGAGATCCAGATGGGGTTAGTGGTTTAGCTAAGGCCCCATGACAAGCTGATGGCCCGGTGAAAACTCAGGGCTGCTGACTCCTTCTCCAGGGGTTTTTCTACTGCACCCAGCTGTCTAACTGAATCGCCTGCCTTTGGGCACTGTATGGAGACAGCGCTGGATGATATAATTATGTGTAAAATATTACCTCAGATTTCCATTACCACTGTTGATGGTGCCTGATCCTTTTCTCAAGGTCAAAAGAGAACAAGGAAATAGTTGCCAAATGAGGCTGCTAATTCCCCCTCTATAGTCATCAAAGAGGCATTACAATAACACCTGATATCTGTACACTTTACAAAGCACATTCACTTATATTACTTCATCACAACAACCTTGTTAGGTAGGAAGTATTATTGCTATTTCACAAATGAAGAAATTGAACCATGGAAGCAGCTATGAGTAGCCAAGCCAGGAGAACATAGGGCTGAGTCCTCTGACGGTAATTCCACCCATCTTTCCACTGCACTAGCAGCCCAAGGCACCATGCAGAGCTGGGGTCTCTATGTTATCTAATCAGCAGCCAGCACCCCCAAACAAAATGCATTTGTAAGAGAGGGTGCTTGCTGGAGAGTAGGGGATCCATCAGGTATACCCTATACCCTGGCAGGAAGGCAATTGTTTTTCTGGGCTTTTCTAACCTCACCCTCAACCAGGCTCTTTTTTGAGGGTTTAAACCACCAGTTTGGGCCTGGGAAAGGCCACTGCATTTCTGTAAGATAAAGAGAGCTAGTCCTAGCTTGTACGTATGGACAGTGACTCATCTTTACAAAAGACACAGTAAGCTCATGAAACAATAAGGCTTAGGGGAATACTGAATGCCTATACGCATGTATCTCATTTTACGCAATAAATGTGCTGCTAGGACATGGGCATGATTCAACCATTAAATCAAAAAAGGGTGCAGGCTCTTGCTATATAAAGATACCCTGTTTGGCTTCTTTTGTGTTTGCATTTCCAGCTGTGAGGCTCGCATTTTTTAATTACTGACTTCCTCACCCCGCAAGAGTGCACAGAATTACTAGTAGGCTAACTCTGAATCAATAGAACATAGTTCACACAAATCTGCTTATTCCATTGTTTGACAGACTCCCCTTGTAA